TGGGTTAGACTCCCTGTGTTGTCTGGCAGAGGCAAAAGGCAACACTTCCTTCATATCGCCCAACACCTACTTCCCCTCTCTCTGAGAAAGCACTCAGCAATGTGTTCCCTGGGACTGCAAACATTTGCTTTTTCCATCGGCCAGAGAATGAGGGCCCTGAGAGCTGCATCGTCTGCCCCTCAGGAAGAGCATCATGTCCACACATTAGCTAGAAAGAGAACAGCTGCAGAAAGCTTATTGTGCTGTTCCGTGCAAGAACGCAAGATAAGAAAGTTTTGCAGGTCTGAACCTGGAAAGGTTCTGCAGGGGGACAGCGGTCCCAGGGGGATCCCCATTTACTTTGGGGGTCCCTGTGGCAGCTTTAAAGAGTAGCCTGTTCTCTCTAGCTGTTTGCCTGCTCCTTCCATGCTCAGCATGCGCTCCATCAATGTTATATCATCCCATGTCAGCAAAGTAGAATTGTGCCAACCAAGGCCCAGTGATGCTTAATCATAGTTAATGCTAACCAGGTTTTGTTACTGTAACTTTGGTTAAGATTCCAGATATGCAGCGAAACCATGCTCCCCACCCCCCCCCGCTCACAGTCCTACAAATGTTTACTTAGGATCAAATGCCACCGAGCTCAATCAGATCTGCTTCCTTGTAAGCTTGCTGAGAGTGTCAGATTCAGTTTGCCAGGCTAAGTCCAATTTCTGGAAGGCATAGACAGGAAAATGCAAGACTTTCTTGTCACTCTACAAACGGACTGGAGATGCTAGCGCAATCATAATTGGGTGCAGGAGGGCAGGAGAAGTGATCTCTTCCTACTTCCAAAATCCATGCTGTTCGAAGTAGGTGGCAGCTCTCCTCATTCTCCACAGAGCCTGCATATCAAATATCTAGCGCCCAGGATTGCTCTGTTAACCACGGTTTCTTCTGCTCAAATGTATGGTTAATGCACAACCATGGTTTGTAAAATGGCTTCAAAACATGGTTTGGGATCCTAGCAAACCTTGATCACGGCTAAGAATCATGCATGTGCAAAGGCACAGATAGCTTTGTGGATGGCCAAAATACTGTTAGGACAGTCTATTACAGAGCCACTTCGGACAGAAACTTCATAGCAAATAGCAACTGCTTTACCAAAATATAGCTTCCCATCTCTTTTTCCATGATGCAATTACAGGGGAATTAAGTCAGTGTGGTACAAACTCCGCTTTGGATCTCTCTTAATATTTGCAGACATCAAAGGCAGCAGCACTTCTAAAACCTTTCTAATTAAAACTCTGGCTTGGTGGAATGCACATCACTCAATTCAAAGGAAATCCTGATGTCTGTGGCATATTTTTAATGACAGCTGACAGGCGGCAGGATTGTTAAGAGAGACCAGGGTAGAGCCTGTGATGGCTGGTTCATACCACATGATACGCAGCTAAGGGCGGGTGACAGGGAGAGGCAAGAGGATAGAGAGCGTGCTCTTGAGTCCATGTTTAAACCACCCTTCCCCAATCAGGCACCCTCCAGATCCATAGGACTACAGCTCCTGCCATCCCCAGCTGGCATGACCATGATGACTAGGGATGATGGAAGCTGTAGTCAGCATGTCTGGAAGGGTGATGTTGTGAGCTAGTCCCTTCCCTCTTCAGTCCCTCCCTTTTAATAAAGCTTATGGCTGTACCCTCTGGGTGACTTAAAAGGCCAGAGACCCTCTAACTGGGCAGGTCCTTTCTCCCACTGGGTCAAGCACTGGGTCTTGCATCTGCTCCCCACCCCATCCTAAAAACCTTTCTGCCCCTCCCAAAGCAGACCAGCTCTCACACTTTGCCACTGAAACGTCAAAGTCCTTGCCCTCTGAACTGCCTCCACAGAATCAGACAAATTTATCCAAACAGTCTGTAATGAGTGTGAGACAAGCCCACTCTCTACAAGAGAAAACTTGGGGACGTCTGACTTAAATAGTTGATTTCTACAAGCTTTTCTGTCTGCTGCATGGTCAGAGAATGGTTATAGTCAGCATTTTCACACCTGGATATGGCAGGGGTTTCTTAGGAAGCTGCCTTCCTCCAGGTGAGATCATTCATTCCATTAGGTTAGCATTGTTTGCTCTAACTGACAGCCTTTCTCTGGGACCACTGGCAAGATGACTTTTCCATTGACTGTTCCCTGAGGTTTCCAGGTAAATCTGCAACAGATTCAGATGAGTTCAGATTTCTGTGAAGATGACTTGCAGATTCTTTGGTTGACACTCTTTTCCCAAGTCAAGTAGATTCAGTGAACTTCTGATCTTGGGAATTTCTACAAATTTGCATTTATGCAATTTGCATGTGTGCAAATGCAATGGGATTCTTATGCATCCCTGAAAAGTAATCCAATTGCATCAATAAATGATTGAATGTTGGAATAAAAGATGCCCAACAGTCTGAGAAACATAAACAACATGGATTTAACAAAGGCTGTATATCCCTTTTGATTTCCTTTTTTATCATGGGAGGTGCTGAAATTGAACCTGGCACTTTCTGCTGGGGTTGAACTATGGTCCTTCCCTCATAGTGTGGTTGCCCAGCAACCACTAAAATACTTCATCCCTCTCAGTTCTGGCAAAAAGGGCAGTCAAGGTCTGACACACAGCTCAGGAATGCCAGGGCAGGGGCAGCTGTCTCCTAAGGCAAATGAGCAGTTTTACTCTGGGCTCCAGAAAATGCAAGATGAGCCAGACAAATGCAACACGCAGTTGCAACACCTCCAGGACGAGACCACCTTGACCCGTGGCTCCCTTAGCAACCATCTGCAAAGAAAGGCCTCTTTTCCTCAAGGGCACCAGATACGGCCCTCAGGCATGTGGGGACAGGAACTAACAGTAACATATCCTTGGTTTTCTAAAATCTGGAAAAAATGGAAGCTTGTCAATTGCAAGGAGATCTATGCAGCCTGTTGAATACAGCCCAACAAACATCTACAGTGGCTCACTATGAAGCTCATGAGCAGTATCACGTATTTGTTCTATTTAAAGTAGATCCCTTTATTTTAATGGAGCTACTTTAATAGGGACAAACATCGGATACATTCCCACGCTGAGCAAGGCACGTTCTTTCCCGCGGTTTCCCTGATCAGGAATATCTCAGCCCTGCTTGGAGCTTCCAGCGACGGAATAAGGAAGCGACCGCCCGCGAAGTAGCTACTTTGCTGCTGAGTTCAAGTTTTACGCGCACGTGAAAATCTCCCACCGGCCTGACAGCCAATGAAAAGCGTTCTCCAAAGAAAAAAAAACTAGGGCTCTTCCTTCGCTTCTTCGGAGAGAAAGGGGTTACCGAGCAGTCACGCCTCTTGGTAGGCAGCGGACCAATTGGAGGGGAGGGGGCGCGGCCGGGATGGAATGTTGTGAAGGTGGAATTGGAGCGCCGTGTGTGAGGACCAGATGCTGGTTGGCATTCCCAGAGATGAGGCGGGTGGGTTAGCTAGCTGCGCAATCCCTGAACTGCTCAGCGGAGAGACAGGATGGAAGAGAAGGGAGAGGGATGTAGCTTATTGCAGGGATGACTGTAGCGGGGGAGCCGGTAAGTGTAGGGGGGTCCCACGCAGGGAACATGGCATAGGAAGGAGGGGCGAGCAGAAAGCCCGTGCCGCTTAGGTGTGCAAAAGGGAACCAGCTTCCCCCGGCGAGCCCGCCCCCGTTCAGATCGAGTCTCTCTCCACCTCACAGTGGAGGGCTTGGATTGCACAGGGCTCGAGCAAAGAGGGGCTCATTCCTGCTAAAACTGGACCGAAGCGGAAAGTCATAAATAAATATAAAACGGGGAAGCAAACAGCAAAAGCAGCGTGCGGGGACAGAGTGACTTAAGTCAGAGAGAAAGGGCGGCGGGGTGAGGAGAGAGAAACAAACTGACGGCGGTAACAGCAAAGAGCAGGAGATTAAGGAATCAAAACACAGCATCGTCTTAAAGGACTGCGAAAGGCTTCTGGACACTTGTCGCAACTCTCGAGCGGCTCTGATAGCAACAGTGCTCATTATTAAGCGAGCCCCCAAGTGGGGTCTGCCTGCGCGCATTGCTGGGCAGGATTTTTTGCTTGGCGAAGCGCCTGAGAAACAGCGGCACCAAGTCCAAAGGAAACGGCGCGAAAAGGGGCCCGGCGCTGCTGGGCTGCGGTCTTGCGACTTCTCTCCCCACCCCCTGTTTGTTCAATGGCAGCAGAAGCCTTGGCCCGACTCTTTGATTCTTTCAAGGTAAAGACTCCGACTCAAATCTGGCAGGAGCGGGGGAGCGGCAGCTTCCTCAGTGAGCGAAGAATCAAGTGTCTTAGAGAGACCTTCGTCTGTTGCGTGTAGGACAGTGTGAACTCCCCAGAGGGGTGTGACAAGGACACGGGGCACTGACAGGCCTAATCTGACACCAGACCGGAGAACAAAAGAAAGAATACCGAGCCAAATCCAGTCACAATCTGGGCAAACAGGTTGATAAACTGAACTGACATGGTGCTTGTTTTTGCTTTAAAACTAAAAAGGAAGAAAAATAGGACAGGTGGTTGGAAGATTTAAAAGTGGGAAAGGGAACACACCAGGAAGGTTTTTTTTTTTTTTTGGGTGGGAGATAGTAATAATCACAGCCCAGGGTGGTGACAAGGTTGAAGTAAACATTGTGTTGTGGAGAGCGGGTGCTGCAAGGTGTAGTGGAAGGCTGCACAGAACAGAAGAGACACTGCTGAGTAGAAGGCATTGCAAATTAAAACTCCAGCAGCAGAGAGCTGGGCTTCCAGAAGAGGAAGCTGTCAAACCTGGTGCATGCATGTGAAAGCGAGAGAGATAAGATGGGGAAAGGATTCAGAAAGTTAATGCAGTCACCCCAGGTTTTCCATGAGTTGCAATCATCTGCAGAATGATTGGCATGCTTCTCCAGCTGTTAAGACCTGAGCTTCTGCTTATCTCCAGTGGGTTTAATGCCGTCGTTTGAGCTTGCCTGAGTATTTTCCCTTTCTGGCTCTTCCTACTGACCAAGCTGGCCTGCTTTTTCAAATAAGGGGTTGGGGTTCTGTATGAACCTATGCAGGCCCGGAAAAAATATATTTTCATGACTTTCTTTGCCACTTGGCTTCTGCTCTTCTTCTTTGGAGGAGACCAAATAAGACGCCTTGCCTTCTCTGGCAAGAAGGCCGGCGTATTGAAGAGCTGGCCCCAGTGGGCTGATGGGTTTCTCCTGAAAAGCTTTGCAGATCCTGAGGAGCTCCAGGAAGATGATGGAGACCTCAGTGAGCAAGCCCCCAAAGCCCGGCGAGAGTTGAGGCGGAGTATCTACAAAAACAGCCGATGTCGTATGGAGACTTGCTTTGACTTTTCCAGGTGTAGGGAACACGGGTTCAAAGTCTTTGTCTACCCTCTGGAAAGAGGAGACCCTGTGTCAGAAAGTTACCTCAAAATCATCACATCCATTGAAGACTCGCGGTATTACACCTCCAATCCTGAAGAAGCCTGTTTGTTTGTTCTAAACATCGATACACTGGATAGAGACCACCTTTCCATACAATATGTCCACGACATCAATGAAAAAATCCAAGGGTTCCCTTTGTGGAATGATGGCCGAAACCATCTCATATTTAACCTTTATTCTGGCACTTGGCCTAATTACACAGAAGATTTGGGCTTTGACATTGGTCAGGCTCTCCTAGCCAAGGCCAGCTTTTACATGGAGAATTTTCGGCCTGGTTTTGATATCTCCATCCCTTTGTTTTCAAAGGACCATCCCCAGAAAGGTGGTGAGAGAGGATGGCTGCTTAAGACCACTGTTCCACCTAAGAAAAAGTACCTCTTGGTTTTTAAAGGGAAAAGATACCTGACTGGCATTGGTTCGGACACCAGGAATGCTCTCCACCATATCCACAACGGCAAAGATATCATTTCCCTGACCACGTGCAGACATGGCAAAGACTGGGAAAAACACAAGGACAGGCGATGTGATCAGGATAATACAGACTATGAAAAGTAAGTGAGATGTTCCTTCTATCTGGGCAGTAAGTTTGGGCAAGCAAGCAGGGCTGGGGTACAAATTGATACAGTCCACACGGCAAAATTCTGCAGAATTGGTGTTGGAATCAACACAAGCTTGTACAGAGCATTTATCTGATCGGTGAGGTTTGTGCAGATGCGTCTCGCATTAGTAACGGGGGCTATGTTTGTGTGTGCAAATTATTTTCCACTTCAGGCACTGAAATGTTTGGGCCAAGCCCTGTAGGTAACTGTAATTTGTCTCAGAGATGCTCATGCAGAGAAGAAAACAGAGGAATCAGCAAATAAAAATGCAGCTAATGTAGAATTTCCACCATCAAAAGCTGGAATATTTTGCTTAGATGTGTGGTTTGACACAGCCCCCTCCCCCAACATGCAATGATATGTCAGCAGAATCCTATGTGTAGGTTGTTTACTCAACCATCCAGGGCTTTAACAGAACCATTACTTGCTAAGGCTTGTCCCTGGAACATTTTTCACTACCAGGACTCGGGTCTGGAATGTGTGAAATGAAGATAGACAAGCAAAACATGTCTCTAAACATGTGCAAAGTGTTTTCATTGTTGAGTCTCTGCAGCCATCTTCCCATCTTTCTAGGATTAAAGGTAATGGCCTTTAATATTGGAGTCAGTTCCTACACTCCCCTTAAATCTCAGTTATGGTTTATCATCATTTTAGCGTGCACTATCAATTAACTGCATTATTTTGCATACTTTCTAGGGCATACACAAACTTTATTGACACATGTACCTTCTCTTTGGGCAGCAGAGATGGCCGAGCAGTCATTAGTCGTTACCTTGTTCTGTCTTTCTTTCATTTCTGAGCAACTAAGCCTGAGGAAGAGTTCTGTGTGACCCACAAGCTTGCTTAGCATATTTGCAGTACTAATTCACCCTATTAAAAGTATTGTGTTGCTTGCATGGTGCTTCAGGTTCAACACAAAAGGCAGCAGTTGGCTTATAATTTCAGCTGATTTACATTTTTGTTTTATGCAAATCAGCACACTTTGCATAATCTATAAATTGCCATGTGCTAGATATGCTTCATCTGTGGTATAAATTTATCCTAATTTCAGCATTATTGATTCTGCTCTTCCAAAAGCTTTGGCTGAGATTTGAAATGCCGTTGTGCATCTGCCAAACCCTCCCTGTGCTTCAAAGTCCCTAACTCTTACAGTCATCTTTATTTTCAGTTTTGCTTGTTTTTCTTTTCTTTTTTTTTTACCAAGGAGGGCCAAGAACCATGCTTGTAACTTACAACTATTTAAAATCTTGTACCCTGTTTCTCACTGCTCTAACAAGAGCCGTGTGGCAAGAAATAAATGATAAGATTGAATAACCACGCCAAGAACTTTGGCTGTGGGGTGGTATAGAAATGTAATCATAATATTAATATTAGTAATGTACAACTGTTATAAATCTCAGTCCAATTCTGTGAATGTTTACTCAGAATTAAACCCTACAGGGTTCAGTGGAGCTTGCTTTCAAGTATGTGTGAATTGGATGGTTATGCTATGGATTTTAGAGAGAAAGAGCAAAGAACATGGATGAGAAGGGACTCAGCAAGAGTGTGACTGTAAGCCTATGCATTTTCTCTTAGCAATAAGCGACACTGCTTCGATAAGGTCACTCCTGGTATTTTTAGAACTGTAGCCTAAAGCTGTGATTTATTAATGTATTTGTAGTTATATCTGGTGTTTTCCTGCAAGAAACCCAAAGTAGCATACATAATCCCCCTTCTCCATTTTATCCTGCCAACAATCCTATGAGGTGGGTTTGGTTGAGAGTCTGTGGCTGGCCCAAAGTCACCCAGTGAACACCATGGCCGAACAGGGACTAGAACCCAGATCCTCTGTGTCCCAGTCCAGTAGACTAACCACTATACCATGTGATGCAATCATTCTCAGGGGAGCAAACCTTATTGAGGTTGGTAGGAGTTCCTTCTGAGTAAACATGAATAGGAGCAGAATGCCCCTTTGGCTGTGACACATCCCTGCTCCAGGACATTTGGACAGCATGGATTACTACATGAGTGAGTATTGAGGAGGTCTGCAAGACCATAAGGGCTTAAAAAGCAAGCAAACAAATGTGTACCTAACATTTACAGATGGGCCATCTGTGATACTGACTGCTGGGGCTCAGAAAATGATAGGAAAAGAAACCTATGCTTATTTTGATCACCTGTTTAAATTTATTATTGAACAAGATGCATTCTGAAATAGTGCCCCAGAGCCCTCTCCCTTAAAAAACTTTAATTACAAAGCTTTTAGTAAATAAAAATATAGTCTGACTTAATCAGAGGCACTTGCGCATGCTGCAACAAGCCTATGTGTGTTTGCACCTGGATGCAACTCCACATAAGTGAATGAGGTTCTGTGTGTGCATTCCCCTATTCTAGTCAACACATTAAGATGAACATCCATTCAAACATATTAAAATTCTGCCCATTAACTGCTTGGAAGGATGAGCAACAGGATGAAGATGATGATGGTGATGATGCTCCAGTCATGTGCATGAGCTTTGCAAGGGCTGAGAGGAAAGGTCCCTGCCCCAAGGGGCTTCCAATTCAGAGAAATTACGCAAGGGAGAAAAAAGAAGAAAGGGAGGGGAAGGAATAAGGGGTAAACAGGGAATGATTATTTCTGGATTGTTTGTTGTAGCTCTCTGACCTTTTAAGTCTGTTCAAATCAGCAGGGCTTGTGCTGTTACAGAACCTGATTCCTGGTTTCAGAGAACATAACAGATGGCAAATGATTTCTTTGATCGCCCTGTCTCTTCCATGCGCTGCTCAATTTTCCTGTTGAAAAAAGTGTTTAGAAATTCAGGGATCCCCAAGCAGCTTGTCAATAATAATAATCTAGCAAAACCTACTCCCACTTTTCTTGAATGTGATTTGTTTTTCACCAGAATTCCAGCTGCGAAAATGCATGTTTTGAGTATGGTCTGGATGCACATAAGGCATCCATCATGTTGAAGCGAAGCAGGTCTGGGGCTGGCCTGAGCTTGGAGGGGAGACCACCTGGGAACCACATGTAGCTCCCAAGACTGAGAATGAAGGGGAGGAAGTGGAGGGAGGCTGGAACATGGGGCTCCAGACTTCGAGATGATAGAAGTGCCGCCTATCTCAAGGCCTCTGTCCCCAACACTTGACCCCATGATGCAGCATCAGGAGTGCGGGGGGGGGGGGCAGCCAACTAGAGCATAGGCGTAAAGGGAGGGGGCAGGCCACTTCTGAACAGGCCCTTCAGAAGGGATCGGGCCCAGACAGATGCAACAGGAGGGTTTCCAGAAGTAGTTGTTCAGCTTGGGTTCAAGGAACCACTCCATGCATGCTCAGAGATACATTCTGTGAGGGCTGCATTTGTTGGGTATCCTCTGCTGAATGAAAAGCTTTTTGCTTCCTTGAACGTGTGAAGGGAGGAAAACTTGCCAGATGACAACTGTGGTCCAAAGGTTTGGTAGTGCTGCAGTGCCATCAATATTTATATTTGAAAGAGGTCATGGACCAGCTCTTTTTACCATAAACCATGGCTTTCTGGACTAAGAGCTAAAGTTCCTTTCCTGCTACCTTCCTCCAGCCTGCCATGTACCTCAATGTAAGAATTCTAATGTGTATTAAACCATAGCTTATCCATATGTCTCGGAATCTGTTTAAAGCTCTGATTGCAAACCAGGCATACCCGAAACAGACCAAGGACTACAATTCTGGATTGTAATCAGAACTTAATCCATGGTTTCTTAGTCAGACACACTGGGAAACTAGTGTGACAAAATCTTGTACGAAAGGTTCACAAAAGTAAAAGAAGGTAAGCAGAGGGGCGGGCTTGACAAGAACAAAGTTAGTTTCCCGTCTGATAAACCATTGGTTATGTCGGAACAGGGCCAGTATGGGCAAGTGCCGCGTCTCCCACCATAGCAGCACTATGATCGGAGAAATTGCAATTAGAGACATTCTCCATTTTTGGTAATCAAGTGAAGGCATTTCATCTTACATTGCAGTGGATTGGGTAACAGCAGGGACTGTTCGCATTGCATAATCTATTATCATGGAATAAGTCATTCCCTTTCTTCTACCTTGCATGTAATTTGCACAGACAAGAAGGCTACCCCAAGGCAATTGAGAGCTCTTGTATCTATATTTCACTAGGAGCAGGCAATATCTGAGCCCAAGGAAGGAATGTAACCCATGATGTGTTATTTTTGTGAGATTTGGTATTTTCATCTTTCTGTTCGTTTCTTGGCTGAGGCCCGGCTGTTAGGGAATCCTCTCCCAGTTAATGTTTAGCTGGCTCCTTCAGCTCTGGTATTCAAGACTTAAACACATATTTATTTACCATATTTTAATTCGCCTCATAACTAGTCTTCAATGTGGAGATTACAAACCATTAAAAGTGCGATCTTGTGCATGTTTAAGCAAAAATAAGGCCTACGACTCCAGGGATACCCCAGTTGGCAGATGTGTGCTTTCTTTTTCCCCTTTTGTCAAAACTCGTATAGGATTTCACCCTAACACAGCATGCATACGGTTAAGAATACAAAATACAGTCCCAATATTTAAAAGAATAAAAGAACGTGGAGTATAAAACCACATAGTGCTAGAATTAATAAACCAGCAGTAAAACGCATATTTCATTTTTAGTGCTGCATTTCCTTAAGTGAGTTTCTTTTCTCCTAGAGTTTCTTAGCTGTGTCCATTTAATGTTTATGCACCTTCAGCTCTTGCCTGCAGCCTGGGTACCTGGCCCCAAAAACTTCCCTGCAATTGAATTCAGCCCTTCACCGAGGGGATTTTGTACCCCTGATATATGTAAATCTGTCCCAAATAATAGTACAATTTGAAAGCCTTGTTATCACCTCATTCATTAGACAGAACAAATACCCTAGTATTTTGGCAAATATGGTCCTTGCTCCTGCACATACAAAAGGCCCAGGGAAGGGCTGCTTTGTCTTCCAGCTTCATTGTGGCCTAATTTTAAC